CATACATACATACATACATACATACATACTACATACATACATACATACATACATACATACTACATACATACATACATACATACATACATCCATACATACCTACATACATACATACATACATACATACATACATCATACATACAATACATCCTACATACATCCTACATACATACATACATACATACATATCACATACATACATACATACATACATACATACATACATACATACTACATACATACATACATCATACATACATACATACATACTACATACATACATACATACATACACATACATACATACATACATACATACATACATACATCATACATACATACATACATACATACATACATACATCATACATACATACATACAACATACATCATACATACATACATACATACATACATACATACTACATACATACATATACAACTACATACATACATACATACATACCTACTACATACATACATACATACATACATACATACATACATACATACATACATACATACATACATACCTCATACATACATACATCATACATACATACATACATACATACATACATACATACATACATACATACATACATACTACTCCATACATACATACATACATACATACTACATACATACATACATACATACATACATACATACATACATACATCCATACATACATACATACATACATACATACATACATACATACATACATACATACATACATACATACATACTACGTCGATGAAGAGCTTTTTCTTCACCGGCAACGATATAGAGCAATTCGGTCTACTTTGAATTGTTGTCCTATAGGTTGCTGAAATGTTCGATGGCAGTGATTAATTAACAAACACAAAAGAACTACCGTGGTACCGAGACAAGAAAAAGATGATGTTGTTCGATTGAATTCAACTATGACAATGATTTATTTATTTAAAAATTCTTTTCTTAAGCCTAACAATTGATCATGTAAATAAGGGCTACACTGTTGTTATTGTAATATTATTTGTTTCTCACTTCCAATGTACCAACTCAACGTGTTTATTTATATTCAAAATATGCAAAAACAAAATACATGCAATAAGTCTCCAAAATAAGAAATTGCATTTTAAGAGCAACAACAATATGCTTATAATAAGAATTGGAGTGAGAAACAAATAATAAAAACTAACGGGTCATTACCAAAAATATGTACAGTGGTTAGTATGAACAAAAAATAATGACAAATTACAGTGGCAACAGTGAGCCAAAAATATGAATAAATTTAAATACAATAAAAAATGGAAAATTAAACAAAACAAAATAATAATGTTAGTAATTATTATACGGTGACCTAACATTCCGGCCCCATTGAAAGGACACTTTCAAGAAGATAGAAGAGGCCAGTCTGTGGATAGGGCGACGTATAACTCCTTTTGTAGTTTTGATGTCGACAACTCGAACACGATCATCTCTTCCACGAACAATGTTGATGATTTTACCCATGAGCCAACGCTGCGGGGGTAAATTATCTTCTTTGATGATGACTAGGGAACCAGGGGTAATATTAGAGTTGGTGCTAGTCCATTTGTTGCGAGTCTGGAGCTCATTTATATAATCATGGGACCACTTTTTCCAGAATTGTTTGCTTGATGGCGCTTATTCGGGCCCAATATTCAAGTTTGTTAATCTCATTTGTAGGGACATCACGTTCTGGCAAACTACGGAGGGGAGCGCCTATCAAGAAGTGTCCTGGTGTAAGAGCTTCAAAATCACTGGGATCTGAGGATAGAGGCGAAATGGGCCTCGAGTTTAAAAAACTGCCCTCTATCTCAATCATAGCCGTTGCGAGTTCTTCGTAGGTGAGCCTTGTGTTGTCCAGGGTTCTGGTTAAGTGGACCTTTGGCCGATTTGACGGCCGCCTCCCACAATCCGCCAAAATGTGGTGCCCTAGGGGGAATAAATCGAAAATTAATAAATTGATTCGAGCAATAATTTGTAATAAAATTTGAATTTTTTGGCTCAAAAAGGAACGACTTTAATTGAGCCAACTTAGAGTTTGCACCAACGAAATTTGTTGCATTATCACAGAATATATCTGTGGGCAGACCTCTACGACCAATCATCCGTTTTAGGGGCAGCAATGAAGGCATCTGTTGACAGGTCGGATACCACTTCAATATGGACAGCTTTGGTAGCGAGACAAACAAATATAGCGATGTATGTCTTGTAGGGGACCTTTCCTCTAATTCTTAGGTAGGTGTTGACTGGACCACAAAAATCGACAGCACACCTTGCGAAGGGGCCTTGACGGGTTGAGTCGTTCCACAGGCAAATTTCCCATCATTTGTTGCAACAACTTTGGGCGATAGCGAATGCATTGAGGGCACGAATTTACAATGCTGCGACACAAATTCCTGGAGTTGATGATCCAAAATTGTTGGCGAATCAATGACATTAGAGCCTTGGGTCCAGCGTGGTAGTTACTGATGTGCAGATGACGTACGTAACAGTAGACGAAATGGCATTTGCTGGGCAAGATTATGGGGTGTTTTTGGCCTTCAGAAATGCCGCGTACTCCAAGCGTCCGCCGACCTTGAGCAAGTTGAAAACCATTTGACGAATCTAGGAAGGGGTTCAGACACTTTAGAGCACCTTGGGGGATCTTTCTTCTTTAGAGCTCGAGTTATGTCATCTTGAAAATGTAGTTTCTGGATGTTGAAAAACGATACAAAGTTTAGCATTTTCTAATTCTTGGGGCTGCAAAGAGTCAGAATTGGAAATATTAGTTTTTGTTTTTTGAGCAAAACGAAACATCCAGCAATAATACGAATGATTTTTAAGTACGAGCTATATTTTCCAACAGAATCGAGGATGTAGTTAGATTTTTGTTTCAAGATGAAGTAACGGTTTTCCGTTTTTTCTTTGTCGAATACTTGCTGATTTTCTTCGGAGAGTTTATCAGTTTTAGTAGGGGGGCCCGCTGAACAGGATCGAGAGCGAGAAATGCTGGTCCGTTGAACCAGATGGATGAGGCGAGTTCCTGCACAGTTGAACCACGAGAAACGATGTCAGCAGGGTTGAACTGGGTTGGGACATGTCGCCAAACGCAGCCATTAGTTAGATCTTGAATTTCTGATACCCTATTGCCAACAAAAACTGACAAAGTAGATGAATGTTGCTTTAGCCAGTGAAGAACTAGTTGCGAATCTGTCCACAGAACGACTTCCAGATTTGGTATTGCGAAAAGATTTTTGATTTTGGAATACAATTTTGCTAGAAGTTGTGCGCCACATAACTCAAGTTTGGGTAACGATTTTCGCTTTGTAGGAGCAACTCTAGATTTGGCAGTAAAGAGCCGAACAACAACATTTCCTGAAGAAGTTTTAACACGAAAGTAAAAACAACAACCATAAGCTTCATACGAGACAATTCTTCAAGCGTATCTGAGCCACAAAGAAAATCATCAACGTAAAATGATGACTTAATGGTTTTTGCACCAAGTTCGAATTGGTCCATGTATTGGTCTGCGAGATAGTGAAGGCTTTTGATGGCAAGGTAGGGCGCAGCTGACATTCCATAGGTGACTGTATTTAGGTGATATGTTCGAATTTCTTCCTCTTCTGAATTTCTCCACAAAATATATTGGAATTTCTATCTTGGGAGTCAATAAGGACTTGTCGATACATTTTTACTATATCGGCAGTAAGAGCGAAGCGATGAAGACGGAACCGAAGTAAATTTTATACAGCTCATCTTGAATTGTTGGGCCAACCATAAGAAGATCATTGAGAGACTTCTGGGACGATGATGGACACGAGGCATCGAAAACAACTCTTAACTTTGTGGAAGTGCTACTTGGTTTGAAAACGCAATGGTGAGGGATGAAATAATGAGGCTCGTGTAGACGAGGGCTACGAACTAGACTCATATGTCCAAAATCTTCATACTCCTTCATAAAAGCAACATATTGTGATTTAAGATTGCTGTCACGAGCAAATCGTCTCTCTTGAGATACAAATCTTTTAAGAGCCATATTTCGAGAAAGACCTAAAGCGTCAGGAGATTCCTTGAAGGGCAATTTAACAACAATCCTACCAGAAGATTCACGATGAACAGTATCATTGAAAAATGTTTCACATTCAGATTGTTCTGGTGTCAAATCATTTGAGCCAGATTGAACTTCATCGATTCCCACAAGCGCTGTAATTTAAGATCAATATCTTCTTCTATCGAGAGCATACAAGAAGAGCCACAAATATTGGGTTGTTTTGATACATAACGACCTGCTACAATCCATCCGAAAAGTGTTTTGTGTAATTTAGGCAAATTAGGGCCAAGTTTTATTTGACCAACTGCTAAAATGTCGAAAAACGTTTCAGTACCAATAAGTAAATCAATTCGTTTTGATTTGAAGAAGTTTTCATCCGCAAGTTCAGTATTTGGGGGCAAATTCCAGGATGAGACATCTAATTCATTATCAGGTTGATATGAAATATGAGGTGTGACACAAAATGAGAGGGAAACTTCAAAATCTGTGACTCGAGATTTTACATTTGTGGACGACCTATATTTAGATTTGCTAAGAGTGTTACCAATGCTAGAGACTTCAGTAGTTTGTTTGGTACGAGACAAATGTAATTTTTGGGAAAATTCATCGGTTATGAAATTCAATTGACAGCAAGAATCTAACAAAGCGCGTCCCAATTGATAGCGACCAGTGGAGTCACGAACTAGAACCATGGCAGTAGCAAGCAGCACCTGTTCCGGCGAGGATTTTTCCATATGGGTATGGACCGAGGCAGAAGATTCATTCAAGGCAACATGAGAAGTAGTAGGTTCAGCAGCAGGGGACGAGGGCCGAGAAGCTGGCTGAGACCGATGAGCAAACTATGATGCGAGCGAGAACAAAATTTGCACTTGAATGTGGAGGAACAACTACTTACTTGATGCCCTTTGGACAAACAATTTAGACAAAGGCTTAGACGTTTTGCATTTTCATACCTTTGACTAACATCCATATCTTTGAACCGAGAACAACGACTAATTGAGTGGTCAGATTTGGAGCAAAGCACACAAGAGCGTTTTGATACCGAAAAAGTATAGCCAGGTTTTGAATTTTTAGATTTGGACTTACCAGATTGATGATCAGGCTTACGAGGGGCCACAAAAGTATGGTTGGTATCAACCGATTCCAAAAATTGACAACGCCTTTCAAGGACCTTGAAGCAATCATCCCATGTTGGCAATCTGGTAAAGTCCAAGGAATCTTTCCACTTTCTTCTGGTATCTTCATCCACTTTTTCCATCACTATGTAAATCAGCATGGAATTAGCAATATCACTATGTGAGCCAAGAGACAGTAAGGAACTATAAAGGGCAGAAACATTATCGACGAGACTTCGTAATTGGGCACAATTGTATTTGGACATGGCAGGAAGTTCAAAAAGGGCGGTAATATTTCCATAAAAATAAGCGAGCTATTATCATAACGCGTTTTGAGCCTTTCCAGAGCCTTCGGGTAATTTTCGTTCGTAATCTGGAAAGCCTTGACCGTTTCTAGAGCTTGGCCTAGGAGGCAGTTGAGCAAATGATTAAACTTTTCAATATTTGATAGGCCAAACTCACGATCGATAACTTGATTGAACGACGTTATAAAATTCTTGTATTCACTGTACTTACCACTAAATGTGGGCAATTTGAGTTGGGGCAATTTATGGCTGGGAGCTGGGAAACAAATGGTGGACTCGGACAACGTTGTGTTATGAACATCTTCACCAAGCTGCGACTGGATATTCATTTTGGCTGAGATGTACAAATCTTCAATTTCGGGCCTAGCATTATCCTCGGGATCATATTTTTCAATTTGTGTTTGATACGTCAATATCTGTTTAAAATATGACTCCAGTATCCCCAAACGGTACTTCAACTCAGCAGACGAAAGTGTCTTACCTTCACCCTTCCATTGGCTTCGATTTGGTTCTTGATGGCGGGTAATACTTCTTCGTCTTATTAGCCCGTTGCTGCTTAACCTCTTCCAAAGTCATCATAAATTTCCAAAAGTTTGGTTAAGTGAGCCAAAAATTTCCAAAACAAATTTCAAAATGATGATACTATGTATTGTAGAGCACCGACGCCAAAAAGTTTTACGCCAAAAATGTTTATATACAAACTTTATGTATTTATTCACTTTCTATATAATATGTACCGCAATATTCCGAGCGACAAATTTAGTATACACAAAATTCTATATTATGTACTGGAACCAAAAGCGAACAAATTGATTTATTTCGTGTATATAAAGATTAGCGGTTAAATTATTTAACCCGAATTACGAGCGAACAAAGTTTATTTATTTTGTACATAAAAATTGGCCGGTAAAATTTCTAGAGTCACTTTTATTTATTTTATTTTTCGACAAAAACTTGATTCTAATTGAGCGAGCCGACAAAAATTGTATATGTTTGTAATAGGTATTAAAAAAAATAGATTGTAGTAGGTACGTCACTACAAATTTGTTTAACAGTTTTTTTTTTTGTTATATGTTGCACTGTCTAGTTTTTTTTTAAATGATTTTATAATTTTTTTGTTGCATAGGTTTTTTTTTATTGAACCACAAAGTTTTTTATTTTTCTTTTTGTAGCACTAGATATTGCCCTTGTAATAGAACCACTGTTTGCCACTTCACAATAGACCGTAAACTTTTTCTTTAAGTTGTACTACAACAAAAAGTTTTTAGAATATACCACGGACCGAGAACGACAATTTAGGAAGATTTAGATTAATCACTTGCCCCACGTTGGGCGCCAAAAATGTACGATGAAGAGCTTTTTCTTCACCGGCAACGATATAGAAGCAATTCGGTCTACCTTTGAATTGTTGTCTATAGGTTGCTGAAATGTTCGATGGGCAGTGATTAATTAACAAACACAAAAGAACTACCGTGGTACCGAGACACGAATAAAAGATGATGTTGTTCGATTGAATTCAACTATGACAATGATTTATTTATTTAAAAATTCTTTTCTTAAGCCTAACAATTGATCATGTAAATAAGGGCTACACTGTTGTTATTGTAATATTATTTGTTTCTCACTTCCAATGTACCAACTCAACTTGTTTATTTATATTCAAAATATGCAAAAACAAAATACATGCAATAAGTCTCCAAAATAAGAAATTGCATTTTTAAGAGCAACAACAATATGCTTATAATAAGAATTGGAGTGAGAAAACAAATAATAAAAACTAACGGGTCATTACCAAAAATATGTACAATGGTTAGTATGAACAAAAAATAATGACAAATTACAGTGGCAACAGTGAGCCAAAAATATGAATAAATTTAAATACAATAAAAAAATGGAAAATTTAAACAAAACAAAATAATAATGTTAGTAATTATTATACGGTGACCTAACAGATACTTTTACCCCCAAAAGAATTTATCCTAAATTTGGTGTATGTTGCATTTTGGATTCCATTTAAAAAGTGTTCTGGATAGCCGGCCTTTGGCCGGGCGCAGCGATTTTAAACTCTGGGGTATTTCGAATACCGGCTTCGCTAATTTAAGCCTTCTTTTGATGAATGGACTCTTTGAAATCCATGGACTTTATGTTACATTGCTCATATGCATTGTGACACTTTTGAAATTGTTATAACGTCCATGGACACTAGACTCAATTTAGTGAGTCATAACGCCCATGGAAAATATGACACTGGACTTTATTACGAAAATTAACCCAATATTTGGGGCCACGTTTCATTTCAACCTTGGGGAGATTTTTCATTAATTTTGGGGTGATTTTTCTTAAAAAATGTTAGGGTTATACTTCATAATGAATTTTGACCCCAACATTGGGGCAATTTTTCGTTTTATATTTTGGGACCATTTTACCTGGGGCCATAATTCGCAGCGCCGTTATTTCATTTTATTTTAGGAAGTTATTTCATTTCGTTCGGGCTTTTTTTCATTTTTAAATTGGGGAATTATTTCATAATGAAATATGTCCCCAAATTTGAGGACTTATTTCTTTTGTTTTGGGGAGTTATTTCGTGGGGAGTTATTTCATGACGCTATATTTTTTATTTCGTGTGATAAAAGTAATATAATGAAATAACTCCCCAAAAATATTTTTAGGAATTTATTTCATTTTTGAATTTTGAGTAATTATTTCATAATGAAATAACTCACCATTTTAAATGTGAAATAATGCCCCAGAAAACGAATTAAATCCCCAAATTTCGTTGTTTTTGCTTTCTGAACAAATTTTTAGGGAGTTATTTCATTTTTGTTTTAGGGAGTTATTTCGTGGGGAGTTATTTCATGACGCCCAATAATGGACCCATCCAGAAAATTTTTTCTCTCAATGAATTCTATTGACATAAGATTTTAAGTTGTAAAATTTTGTGTAAATGTCAGCATTCTGACGGAAGTTGTTAACAAAAAACTCATTTTCCGGAATATGTACTTTTGTATGGGAGGTATATGAAATTATGGACCGATTCTGGCAATTTTCAGCAGGAATCAAGATCTTGTGTAGAAACGAATGTATGATGACTTTCATGAAATTATCTTGCATAGTTTTCGAGAAAATTACAATCAGAATGTATAGAAAATTCTTATTTTTTTCGGAGTTGTTTTAAATTTGATTCAAAACTTTCCCCTATGTGAACCCATTTTGCTCATTTTCAATACCAAACTGTACCGGATAATAATGAATATTTTTGCTGAATTTCGTTAATTTCCATTGCTTCGTTTTAACGTGAGCGTGTTTTACACAGACAGATAGACGGACATAGCTAAATCGACCCGAATTTCCTAAGGACCCAGAATATATATACTTTGTTGGGTCTCAGAGGAATATTTCTTGGTGTTACACACGGAATGACAAACTTATATATACCCTCTATCACCACTAATGGTGGTGGAGGGTATAATAGCTATATAAATAAGTTTTTTTCGGATCGGTTCATAATTGTTCATATATCTGTCATATAAGATCCACTTCAGATGAGAACCTATAAAAAGGGACTTTTTGGTACTTTTTCGTCTACAAAAGGTACTTTTTGAATTTGTCATATAAGATCCACTTCAGATGAGAACCTATAAAAAGGGACTTTTTGGTACTTTTTCGTCTACAAAAGGTACTTTTTGAATTTTCTATAATATTGAACCTAGAAACTTGAAATTAAATATGCAGAGCCCGGATTAGGTCAGAACATACAAAAGGGGACTTTTTGGAAATTTTTCGTTCTACAAAAGGTACTTTTTGAATTTCTATAATATTGAACCTAGAAACATGAAATTAAATATTCAGAAGCCCGTATTAGGTCAGAACACATAAAGGGGACTTTTTGGTACTTTTTTCGTTCTACAAAAGGTACTTTTTGAATTTTCTATAATATTGAACCTAGAAACATGAAATTAAGTATGCAGAACCGGATTAGGCCAGAACACATAAAAGGGGACTTTTTGGTACTTTTTCGTTCTACAAAAGTTACTTTTTGAATTTTCTATAATATTGAACCAAGAAACATGAAATTTTGCATGTAGGGTCTTGATTAAGTAAGAACCTATAAAAAACTTTTGTACTTTTTCGTTCTATAAAAGGAACATTATGAATTTTCTATAATATTGAACCTAGAAACATGAAATTAAGTATGTAGAGCCCGGATTAGGCGAGAACACATAAAATGGGGAATTTTTGGTACTTTTTCGTTCTATAAAATGTACTTTTTGAAATTTCTATAATATTGAACCTAGAAACATGAAATTAAGTATGTAGAGTCTGGGTTAAGTGAGAACCCATAAAAGGGGACTTTTTGATACTTTTTCGTTCTTCAAAAGGTACTTATTGAAATTTCTATAATATTGAACCTAGAAACATGAAATTAATTATGTAGAGCCTGGATTAAGTGGGAACCCATAAAAGGGGACTTTTTGGTACTTTTTCGTTCTTCAAAAGGTACTTTTTGAATTTTCTATAATATTGAACCTAGAAACATGAAATTAAGTATGTAGAGTCTGGATTAAGTGAGAACCCATAAAAGGGGACTTTTGGTACCTTACCGTTTTGCAATTGGTATTTTTAAAATTCATACTGACTGTTTTTTAACACATCATAGTGAAGGGTATATAAGATTCGGCACAGCCGAATGTAGAACTCTTACTTGTTTTAAATTAGGATCAATGCATAATTGGTCTTAGTTCTCATATAAGGCCCATTTTATAAGTCACTTTTTCCAATATATTTCATTCAATTATAAATATATAAAATCCAACATAGTGTGTTTTTTATCGATAAATCATTTTGCGAAATTTTGTTCGGATTGACCAATAATTGGCCATATCTCCATAAAAGGTGTATATGATTTCTAAATGATAGCACCCTCATCACGGAAGCACAATTTATTAAATACGTATCTAGTAATATATAAAGTAGCTTACAGGTGGAGGGTATTTAAGATTTGGCATAGCCGAATATAGCACTCTGACTTGTTTATATTTTGAATGTTGATACCAAGGACATTCCTTTTCATTCGGCTGGCAGTGTCTGTCATTAAGCTGATAATTTTATTTTTACTATAGCACTTATCTCAGCTTTTATGTAGCCACTCGCTTTTCTAAAATTACACCAATATTGTTAGAGTTCAAATTGATATTAAACTTTCTTCGTATGGTGCAATTTGTTGCTTAAAGCACTCCTGGTCATCAAATATCCCAAATGGAATATTTTTTTTTTTTTTGTTAGCAATCCCACATTTCAGAAAATTTTCCTTATCCATTGCGGTGCTTAA